CAAATCAAATGAAAAGTTAAAAGTAACTTTTCTGAATAAAGTTCTGTAAGACTTTGAGGGATACTACCATCAGTTTCACCAAATCTGGGAGGCTGGTGCTGATGGTGTTCTTAGCATCCATATTGATTTATATTTTACATATGAGTAGGTGAAGTGATGTTGAAAACTGTGACAGCTGGTAATTAGAGCTCACAACTGAGTTCTGAAAATCAGGACTCACAGCTATCACTGACAGTAATTCAGCTTTATAACTAACACCAACAATGGAGAAATTAAATACATAAAAATACTTCTCCAGCAGAGACAGTACTGGAGGCAGTAAAAATCCTGTAGTTCTTTGTAATTTCCCATATAAAATGAAAAATTGGAGATGCTCCACCAAAAAGAAACACAGCAACTGATACCCTTTTAATGTATGTGCCTCTGCATTTGACCTTTGCCATTCCATAGAGGTAAATCTTTAAAACTATGTGCTGGATAGACTGACACTTGTTGCTTCACCYGACATGCCCTTGGCTCTTTCACATGTCCCAGTTACCAGATTCGGTGTCTCAAGAAGCCTAACAGWGCCTGGCTAGAGCCAGTAGCAATGACTTCCTAAGGATGAGCTAGAGTTTACATGGAGAAAGTTTCCCACAAGGAATCTTATGATAGTTTCAGAAGTCAGAAACCTTGCCTGCATTTTGTTGTGTTGCAAGTAAAAGATATACTGTCTTCCAGCAGAGTGCATTTTTGAAGCCCATGGATTATTTTCAGAATACACTTTAGTTTCCATGGTTACTTAAATTCAAATTGCTGTAGAAGCAATTTGAGCAATTTTGTCTTGCATGTATAAATACTTAAAGTTTGAACAGGAGCTGTGCCATATAACCTTAACTAGTTCTCATTTAATAAGGTAGTTGTTGCAGCATTGTTTGCAATTTAATGATTACGATTTAAGCTTTTAAGATGGTAAGTGGTAAATAAATAAAATTATAAATATTTCTAGTTGCATTCATTTGTTTGAAATAATAAGCAGAAATATCTTAAAAAAGTTTCAGACTTCATTGCTCTAAACAAAGATCTAATATTGAATAAATTCCATTTTTACTAGAAACAACTTTTAAAATGTAGTCAGTCTCAGTTCTTTTTATTAGTGTAGCACAAACAGGTATTTGCCAGAGGTATACAGTCTGAGAATTGAATAGCTAGTGAAAAAAAAAAAACTTGCTTAAACATCTAAATAAATCTGATTTTGAATGCTTACGTCTGTGTGTTTATATTAAATTTTTGGCTTCTCTCAAGTCACCTGGCTCTAGTAGCTCTTAAAAGATTTTTAATGTGCTTTCAAATTATGCCAAATTTGACCAATTTTGTCCTTTGTATTTTTTGTCATTTCATTGCTCACCATCACCTCAACACTGAGTAGGGAGCTCATTAGAATAGCTAATTAGTTCTTGACACATGACAAAATTACACTCTGATGCCTGTCTTTTCACTTTATTATGATTTGCTTTTTTATCACAATGGAATTTGATGTTCCCTATATTGGTTAAAATTCTCATTCTTGCAAACAAGATGGGGGTAATGAACTTTATATGAACCAATGAAGAATAGCCTGCAAGCTGGTAAACAATTGTTCAGTTATTCCTAAATGTATACTTTCTTGCCCCCTATTTCCCATTTTCTAYACCATGACCGTGTATTCCCTCGTGTATTCTGGTCACTGAGTCACTCTATACAAGCAAATTAGTGCAATACCACTTCAGAACATAACCTTTCTTAAAATAAATTGATGCACCCTCATGAAATGAAAGTGCTAAGTTGCTGTGGATGGCACAAGATGCTTGCAGCAGAGTACATGATTAAGTTTGTATGCTCGTTTATTTAGCTTGTCAGTTTTGTAATAATGCAGAGCATATTCATTCATGTAATGCAGTTCCAGACTGGAGATGTTACTGTGTCTGTACATGTGCAATGTAATTAGTTAATCCTAGTTGTGCACTGTTGTAATTCTGTTGTTATCTTTAGTATTTCTGTGCAACTAAGCATAAAACTTTCTGTTCCTGTAACCAGGATAAGTGCAGGTATCTGATAAAGCTGGGTATCTGGTGCCCTTTCATGTGTAGCTTTCTGTTTCCATTTTTTTATAATAAATGTAATGGTTGTTTCAAGGTCCTCTGAATTGTGTGTTTCATCTGGTATGAATCATTATCTTGTACATATTTTTGATAATAAGCATATTGCAGGCTAAACTTAGGAGATTTAGATAGTTGCTGTAGCTATTAAGAGCTGAAAGTAGAAAGAGAATGTTATGACAGGATTGCAATATGRCCCCAAAGGCTAGTTGTGGCCACCACAGTTTTTGGGGTGTGACCTCCTCAAAGTCACCTTACTTGAGTATGGGCTTATAAAAATTGGATGACTGAAGACCTCAGAGGTCACAGAGGTTTTTTTTGGACTGAGGTGAATATCTGAGCAGTTTGGCTGAGAGCTCTAGTTCTGTCCAAGCAAAATGCAACTACTCACCTTTGCTACAACTTTGCTACAACTCAGTGGTAGTTGTAAACTATCTAAAAAYCTTTAATATGTGTTCAGGAAAGGTAAAAATTTATCTTTTTGGAAGTACTGAGAATAGAAGTCACTGGATTGGTGTACAGCTCTAGCTCCATCCCTAAGGAGTGTGTTAGGTCATACTTTTCCCTCCCTCTGTTGCTGTGGCTCTGAGTTTTGTGGATTGCATGCTACCTCCACAGGGACAGTGTTAGCATGAGCAGGAAATAAAAGGCTGTAACTATGGCTATTTAGATGCTGAGAAATTGCAGACTTCTGATGTTGTGATGTGTTTTCTTCCCCCGCTTCAGACTAGAAAATTGTATTACGAGGAATACATGTTATGGGTTTAAGTGGAAGAGGTATAGCCAATAGCTGTAAACTGCATTAGAAACACCTGTGCTAGGAACAGTTATAAATGAAATGTTACTTTATTGCAAATGAACAGGGAGGAAATATGGATTACAGTCACAAAGGACAATAATGCAAGTAGGAGTAATGAAGATGCAAAGTCAGGCAAGATACGAAGTTAACATAAATTCTAAACTGCTCAGAGTGGAAGGAATAATTGCTATTGTGTACATGGACTGAATTTGAAAAATGCTTGGAAAACAGTGAATAAGAGTGAGTAGTAGATTTGAACAATTAAGTAGGCATGATTTTGCAGCATAATGTGACACAGGCATCTCAGTTGAAGTTTGGGTTCTTTGTTGTCTGTAAAACCTTGTTTCTTACGTATTTTTTTTAGTGCTTGTGTATAATTGAATTCTGTTTTTGTCTATCATGGTTGTTCAAAGGGGCCCAGACTTCCAGAAAGAGTGTTTATAAATTGGGCTGATACAAATTGTGGTTATTCASCGCAGAAGACTTCTGTGCAAGGAATCACAGTTCAGTTGTCTGATGTTTAGAAAGTTTTGTGTACCCAAGCACCATCCGTAATCTGATTGAGTAATAGTCATGTGGTTGTGTAACACATTTAAAAACAGTGTTTCATCAACATTGCCTGCCTGTTTCAATTACATGGGAAAAGAAATTGTGTGTGATATATTATACTTTTCTGTTGTAGTTCACTTATGTGAAATTGCCTTCTCTGATATTTCTAAATAGTCAAAACTTGCTGTGTGATGTGACGATAGTAGCTGAAGACATGGAAATTGCAGCGCATAGAGTTGTGTTAGCCGCCTGCAGCCCCTACTTCCATGCCATGTTTACAGGTACCAATATTTCAATACTTACTATGTTGTAATCCAGCCTAACTGTATAAAGCACCAAATTTCGTGGCTTTTGGTTTTTAGGGTCTAATTTGATTTTTAGAGAAACCAATAGGAATATTTGGGATTCTTAATGATTATTTTAGCTTTTGCAGTCTAAGGACATAACTTAACCTTTGTTAGCATGATGAATACTTTTTAAAGCCTCCTGAATTAAAAAACAAATTAGATGTTAAATAAACCAGGAATAGTCAGGTCATTATACCCTTTAATCCTCTAGTAATCTCAGTCATCTAAAAGATGGTTAAAATAACTTTCATGTGAATTTTGGAGCAAATTATGTCCTTTAACAACTACTGCTGCTGTGTTCTTCAGACCAAGAGTGCTCCAGGCTGTTAGTAGATATGAAAGCTTTCTGTGGCTTTGGCAGCCTATAGCTGGAGTACATGTTTTAGTATTTTTAGGGTAATTCTCCATGACATATGTACTCTGCATCATTGCCACTACTTTTCTGTACAGGCTTGATTCTAATTCTGCTCACTCCATGCTGGCCAAGTTACTGCTTTACTGTTAAAGCAGGAATGCTGAGGGCTTGCAAGGCTAAGATGGGTTCAGGTTCACAGGAGCCTTCACCTGAAATTACTGTGCTATGGATTTCATTCCATCGTGATTATAAACCACATTGAAATAATGTGAAATTCAGTGTCAAAATAAGAATGCTACTAAATGCATGTTAAAATTCAGAGGTTTTGTCTATTCCTCCTCAAATCTCATGCCAGCCATGTAGTTAATGCCAGCTGTGTGAAATTAAAAGACCTCTCTGCAAAGCATTGCTTCTGACCACCGCCTCAGATGGAGGTAGAAGTATCTCTTGGCCTGCCCATATGCAAACAGACTGGTGTTTTAAAAACTTTAATGCAACAAGATGGATGAAATTTGAAATACTGTTGTGTTCTGGGGAAGCAGCTGGTAATTCTTGATTTTATATGCAAATATTTTGACATAATCAAGGCTAGAAGTAGAGTCACTTCTACTGCAATGCTTTAAAGTTGCTTGTAAAATTAAATATCTATTCCTCAAGTGCTTCTTAAAGTTTGCATTAGTGGTTGAGACAAACATTCTGGGTGATTGATACATTTTTTCTTAATTTTTACTGCTGTTCATAAAATTAGAATGAAAAAAGCTTCTTCTACAGTTCTTTTTTATCACCTTAGTGATAGTAGAGAAATGTAAACCTCTTTTATTAGTTCTGTATTAAAGATTAACTGTTATTGTGTGTCACATTGAAAATACTCTTTACTCAAGAGTATAGCTTTTTATTATGCTTTCTGTGGTTAAGACATTTCTGCTTGCCCTGACTGCCCTTTCTTTGAAGAAGTTTATTACCCATTCAGAGTGCCAGTGCAGCAGTGTCTGTGGCTGCTTTCCAGATAGAATTACTGAAATCTTCTCTTCTCTTGCTTCAGTCCCTTTTAATTTTTTTTTACTTTTTTATACTTTTAAATTTAGGTGCTCTTTAACCCCCARTGGTGCAGGAGATGGGAACGCTTACTTGAGTAATGGGTGTGAAGTGTTTAGCTGATACATCTGTGTTGAGGTTTGTGTAGTTGGTGAACCAAATTGGTAGGAGCTTAAATAGAATTCAGCTGTGGCTTTAGGAGTTATCAACAGATTTTATACTTTGCTTRTAGTATGCTTACAGTACAGCCTAGCTGTGGTATTGGTGCAATTCAGCCTTCCCCACACAAAAAAATCCTGAAGTTCATTGTCATTGTTCTCTCCATGAGGCCTGGAATTCACACTTCTTAGGTGGATTTTTATTCTCATCTAGTAATCTGTAAATTCAAATAARTAAATTTGATCCCTTAATCAGCCACAACCAAATGGAAAAGTATCTTATTCYGTCCAGAATAAAACAGTGAATAAAAAGACAGTAAAAAAAATTGCACTCTTTTGCTTAGGGTTACTTCTTGACTAGAAACTAGAAGCTTATATTTAGACATGTGTTTGCAGGTTGATTCCATCATTCTCTGAGTCATTAAGTATTATTGCAATGCAGGCTGGGATATGGTATTAACTGGGTTCAAACTCTCTGCCTGTTGTTTTTTTTCTTCCCCTTTTCTCCATTTGTATTTGTAATGGCAGCCCCAATAAATATCAGGAAAGAAAAAGTTACTGTGTTTTAAAGTTACAAAATATAATAAGTTAGTAACATTTATCCAGTGGAGAGAGTGGAGAACAAAGTTGCTACTGTTTAGTCTATGAATATTCSTTTCTTCTTATACAGTGGAATTACTTTGAAATATGATTTAAATCTACTTAAATGTTTAGAGGAATTGATTATGAAACATGAGAGAAGGGACTCTTCAGTGGTCATAGGGCCTGACTTCAGACAAGGGCGACCTGAGTTTAATTTTCTTTTCTATGATGGCAGTTATCCTTAGGGATTTACCTGCTCTCTTTGTTTCCATTCTCAATTTGTAAAATTCTTGGGTAAAAAAAAAAAAAAAAAAAAAAAAAGCCTTCTTTGCAATACTTTGTGACAAACCACATATGCTTTTTAGGTAACCTCTTTAATATCTTTAAGTCAGCTGGTGCTTTGCTGTTGCTGCTTGGGAGGCTGGATCAGTTCAGTGTTTTCTTTCTGTTCACAATATGCTTTCCTGTCATTAAGAACTCTGTGGAGACATGATGGTGCTGCATCCCAGTCATAAACTGAGTTTTTCAGGTTGAATTCTAGACTGAGATTGCCTACTGACTGCATCTATTTCCTCTGTATGATCTATCAAACAGATTTAGATTGATCAAGAATTATAGTAAGATTGCATGTCTGTTTCACATGAAATTTGGAAGTAAGTATTTTTGGGGTTATTTTTGTTGGGTGTTTTTTGTTGTTGKTGGTGGTGTGGGGCTTATTGTTTTGGTTTGGGGTTTTTTTTTTCTTGTTTAGCGTTTTTTATTTTTATATTCTGGGCTTGGTTGTTAAACCGAGAAGGTACCTATCCATGACTCTAAAAGCCTTGACAGAAAATCTGAAAACAAACCTAATGTGCTTGCAGAATATCAAAATCTGCTCTCCCACACACACAATTTTCCCAAAGGACCACCTCCACAGCAGCTTGCATAATAAATAAGTTGCAGCTTACATGCTCTGAAGATCAATAGGTTTAATCTGTGTCAAACTAGAAGCAGAAACTTGGAATACAGGGCCCTGGAGTCATCCTTCAAAGGTGTAGGGAGATGCTTCAGAAAGACAGGTGAAAGGAGAAAGTTCTATGGGGGCTGGATTTTGCTGTTTTTTATGCAGGTAGATGGTCTTTTGAACTTCCTGCCGTTTAAAGAGTTGACTTGCAATGCTATTCTTTATCCTTCAGCTCAAAAAAAAAAAAAAAAGGCATGAATAATGGTAACAGATTTCTCAGCGATGATCCTTTTACCAAAAGCACAGGGTAAAATGCAGTGTTTAACACCAACCCTAGAGACAAGAGGGTGACAATGAAAATGTGTATGACTTCCTTAGAAAATATCAGTAATGATTAGTATGTTCTTCTTCAATTCCCCATCCTGTTGTATACATTAAATTTATTGTATCACCAATACCCTTATCTCTAGGCACCTATGCCTAAGGGAAAGAAATGATATCTAACACAGAAATGCAAGAAACTAATGTATTCAAAGATTGGGATATACTCTTCCAAAGTCAAATTTTATATACCTTCCAACACAACTTTTGTAGTTCATGTTCTGTTTTTCAGTTAAAATCAGTGCAAGAGGTTTTAAAGGTCTCAGATTACCTGATCTGGAAGTCATGAAGAAGGTTATAKTCATTACTTCAAAATATGTCTTTGGGTAATTTTTTCAGCCATAAAGAAAATGTTGCATTTTGAGAAACATCATATTTTGGAAGGTGGAAGTTATTTTGCAGGCCTTTCTATGAAGATGGTTGGTGGCATATGGCCAACATGTCAGCCTCCACAAAATGAGATCCAGCAAGTTTTCCCTTGCTTACCATTTTATCTTAGCTTGAGTTTGAGCTGTTAAATTGGATCTGTAAAAGAGGTGAAATCACTAAGGGAATAATAAGTAGGCAAGCAAAGAAATATGTATGTTAATTCTTCTGTGAGGATTTAACTTTTYTTACTTAAATAAATTTACTCCAGACCAAGTTTGGTATATTCCTTCAATTAAGAAATTAATAAATCCAGAGTATTTTAATAGCTTGCTTTGCCAGCAAAATGTTTTTGTATGGATTTGAAGAGTCTTATTTAGGCCTGATAACATTATTTTCCAGATATTGTACGCTGAAAAAAGTAGGTCACCTGCACTGAAAAGTATTAACCCAGGTAGCATTTGCCTGATGGTAACAACAAAATCTTCCTTCCTCACTGGAGGAAGGAAGGAARGAAAGAAATTGAATTATTTTTATTAAAGTTGTTTTACTATCACAACTGTTCATACACAAAATTTCTGCTGCTATTAAACTTCTACATTCATGCTGTGTTTCTATCTTATTTACTTGACTAATAAACTGTATTTGTAGGTGAGATGAGTGAAAGCCGAGCAAAAAAAGTTCGAATAAAGGAAGTTGATGGTTGGACTCTAAGGATGCTTATTGATTATATTTACACTGCTGAAATTCAAGTTACAGAAGAAAATGTGCAGGTAAGAGAATATTCCTAGTATTTTCTACTACAAATGAGATGCAATGCGCCGTCATTTATTTTGCCAGTGTGGTTCAGCTCTGACATGGGAAATCTCATCTGCAAACTGGAATTTTTTTCAGACCTCGTGCTTACAAAGCAAGTAGTCATGCTGTTAAAATTCTGGGTCAAATTCAAAGACAATTCAAGTAAATGAAGATTTAGTTGACTTACGTAATGCCATAAAATTAGATGGTCTAATGCCTAAAATTAATGCTGTCAGCCACCTCTCTACCACCCCTTCTCTAATATTTAAGTGCAATTTACATAGACAATGTTGATCTGTTCCTAAATGTGATACCATGTTGTCCAGTTAAGCTGTCCTATTTTTTTTTTTTTTTGCCTGTTAGCCTGCAGAAGAAAGTACTTTTTCCTGCTTAATATCTGTAACTTGCCAGTGGCCAACTGTGCAGAAATTTTTAGCTACTGCTTTTTTTTTTTTTTTAACTTAATTAAATCAGCCAATATCTATCATGAAGGTTTTGTCCATCCCACACAGAGCTAATCAGYTTTTCCAATTGGCTGTACCTTAAGATGAAGCTTCAATTGGAATAAAACAATCACAAGGTTTTAATATTTTCTAACCACAAACACTTAAGATGGACAGAGTAGATTTTGCTTCCAGTAGCTTTTGAGATTTATTGTAGAGGTTTGATAAATTTAGATAGTTGCATAAGGGGTGATAAATTTAATTCTCTTGTTTTCCTTTGTACTGTTATACTCTTCTTATCACTCTTGCCCATGCCAAATAATTGGTTATTAGCAGTTATTTTGCTGCTTCAKCAGGGTGCAAAACCATGTTGCTGTATTTGGTGTTAAAAACTTGTGTTGCAATTWAAAAATTATGTATTCTGAAATTAATTACTTTTATTGGGCATTAGGCTGAAATTATTGTTTTTTATTGGCTGCTGAATCTGAGAGAGACACTGCTTCTTTTAGCTGTGCTTGATTGAATATTTCTTGAAATGAGAAATACTGCCATCTTGAAACAAAACATCCTACTACTAAACCATTTCTTAGGTCGTATCGTAAGTCATTTAATTCTACAAGATTAATTTCTTGTCTTTCTTAAGGACTTGTTTCTTAAAAATCTTCTTTCTTAAGGAATTGTTCTGGTCTGATGGTGAATGTACATAGTGAAAAAAATGACTGAAATTCTGTTGTATTTTACCGATCTGGTGGTTGCCCAAATCTCTGTATYGCTATGGAAGACCTTGAGCAAATCCAGAGCTGTCAGAGATTCCCTAGCAGACCTCTTACTGTTCGATCATGCTGGCTTTTTATCCTTAAAGCAGAATATTCTGTCTTGCTGACAGAGCTTAATGGCCCTAATTTTGTACATTCAAACCATAACATCAGAGTGGATTTAACTGGCAGCCCCACTGTGTTTTGGCTGTGGGTGCTGCCTAGGAGGAGGCATTATYACCCATCCTTGGCTCTGCTGACTCTTCCATGTTTATGGGGAGCACAAACATTACATTTCTTCCTCATACAAGTTGAAGGCCAAAAATCCACAGGTTTAAAGCTCATGAGTCTGATAGGGCTTTAATTTTCRTGGCTTCAGGTTATCAGAAGATAGATATCTGATTGTGTTGGGGATGTTAGTGTTAATAATACAGCTTGGTAAGTGATATTACAAGTTTGTGGTTACTTGAGTACTTGAGACCAAASTTGGGCTTCTAATTTGGGTTTTGATTTGTTTCCAGTATAGTTGCACTTTAATGCTGAAGGTGAATATACTTSTAATATAACTGTATTGAATGTAAACTTATTCTCACTTTGTCATTTTCATCCTTTTTTGCATTATTATAATTAGATGTGTAGYGTTTATTTTCATTACAGCAGAAATAAACACTGTGTCTAAAAATAAATATGCTGATGACAAGTTCTTTTCCTTATATTTGAAAGTCAAGGTAGGAAAACTGTTGCAGTGACTTTCTGGAAGCCTAGAAACCTAGTGCAGATTGTCAGGCCTTAGTTAAAACTGTGTTCTCTCCATAAGCGTGTTGCATGCTCTTGAGATTAATTCTAACTCTCCATTTCTTGACCCAGAAGGTATTGTAAAATTTTGGTAATGGTTAGGAATTTATCTTGTAGGAATACAGAACCATGAAAATCTAAGATGCCATGTAATTTCATGTTACTTTAAAAATATTTTTTATATTTGGACTAATATGCTGAACTGGAGCATTAGCTTCTAGGTAGGTGGTTATGATTCTTATTCTGATACCCTTTATGGGATTTCATATCATTCCATCTCTTCAGGTTATACATAGTAAGAATAGGTATTGAATTAATTTCTAATATGTGATGCAGTGTTTGAAGAGGATGTTCAAGCTTCATGTTTAAGTAATGTAGAATTGCTAAGTAATTCTTRGTATTAAAATAGCTGCATTGTATATTTATGAAAACTAATTATACAGGAATGCATAATCGTAGCCCAGTTCACTGGGCTTTCTCAAGGGGCAGGTTAACTATGAGCTGCTTTCCTTAGGCTCTTACTTGATCTAGATGTGGACATGACAGTGCTTCCTGACTTGCTTTTGCAGCTTCTCAGTAAGAGTTGTCAGTTTTTTTCTCCCCCTGACCTGTTCTCACTTAGGTATGATTTTGGGCAGGTGTGGAGGTAGAAAAATCAGGTGTAAGTCAATGATTGAACAGAAAACCACCTTCATTTAGCCCATAAACTATCAACATGGAAGGCCCTCATCATGGGCTATTATCACTACATGAGTTAAATACAAAAGAACTTTTTTTCTCTTCTTAAGTTTTTGGTTCAATAGGTTCCCCCCAGTCTGCAACAATGAGACAGCTGGTATATGAATGTGTACATTCTTTAAGTGTTTGTCCTTCATTTAGAACAAGTTACTTTATAATTCATCTCTAGTGGCACTCACTTTGCATAATGCCATGACATGTTTCTGCTGTATTTACATATTATATCATGTTTTTCTGCATTCTTAACACTCTGCTCTTCCCTTTATTTATTTATTTTTTTTAAAGGAATGAAATTAAATGTCAGACTTAATGCAATATCTGCATTCTTCATATTTTAAGAAGGGAACATCCAGGTTAATGTTTTCAGAAGGCAAATCAACTTTCTTGCATATCAAATTCTTTTGATATCCATATAGGTATTAACTTCATGCAGTGCACCATGTGGGAGAGTTGGTTACTATAAGAAGCTCATGCGTGAGTAACTCTCCCACACTATGCGTATGCATTGCAGCCCCATTTTAGTCAGCTGTGCACCTCAGGCCTCTCCTGAGCACAAATATATCAGAGGAGAAATTCCTGCAGTTGTTGGTGGGCTGTGGGTTTGTTAYGGGCTTTAGAGGTCAGCCTGATACAGGCTGAGTGGAATGTGGTTTGAATAGACACCAGAGTTAGTTGATTGGGTTCCCTTCTGATTTCCTGCTATAATTCTCTGCTCCTTTAATTGTTCTGATGCAACTATTTGCTGGACTGTTTTATAAAGCAGGTCATTGAACTTAAAAAAAATCCTATCCAACAACATAACACTGTGTATCTCCACTTYGACCCTGCATGGGTTTTTGAGTTATTCTTAACTTGGATTGTGGGCCTATCAGTTGCTGTTTTCACCTAATACTTGGGGTTAGTGTACTGAAGTGTAGGAACATACACCTTTGTTGGGAGTAGATGTTTCCCTGTGASCTGGGGAAAGCATTGCATGTAGCTTCACTTTGCTGCAGCTGCTATCTTGCTTTTGTTCTTCTTTTGAGCGTACGAGAGACAGTAGAAGAAAAAATCACAAAAAAATACATTTTTACAATTGTATAACTCTGTCCCAGCATATTTTTTCCTCTAAAGAATTTTGTTAGGTACAACAAACATGAAGTCCAGAATCCTGAATAGGGTCCTTTTTAAGATGTATCATTTTTTGTCTTCATTCTCTGGAATTATTCAAGAACAATGTTTGCATAGTAATAAGCATATTATGAACAGACAGTATGTATGCATTTTTTCTTTGTAACTCCTACTGTTCACTCAGATTGCCATAAAAAGTTCAACAGACACACTTCTATTTGTATGGTGTCATAGGGTGTGGGCATAAGAGTTCACAGTACATTTGATTTAAGCTGCTGTCAAAACAAAGTTCGAAAAAGCAGCTGATTTCCCCAAGAAAGCCTCAAAATAATATCTTCATGTTGTCCCAGCTATTTACTAAGATAGTCATTCTACAGTACCATGTTTGGTAGTACAGGCTTTGACTATAAATGCCGCACATCATCACCTCTAGGGTCTACTGGTTGATCAGCTTTGCGGGATTGTTGGATCCTGAAAAATCCTCTATGTTGACAATGAACAGATACTTCACACCAAAACCCAGAGAAGTCTCACAGTTTAAGAAAACAGATGTGTGCTTTTTAAGATTGTCAGCTACTGAATTATATTTGTGGCATGACCCAACCCTTGCGGGTCATGCCATAAGTTGGACTGAGGGTATGTTAAAGGAACACAAAGAAGAAGTAATGTGATGTTAAAGGTAATAGCATAAAAGATAATTGCTRCTGAACTCTGAAGTGAAACAGTGACTCAATGTATCTAGGCTTGGCAGACCATATTTAACTAACAGTGGAAACTTGATAAAAATCCTTAGGTGGTTCATTCCAGCTGCTTTAATAGTTTTTTTTTTTTTAGTTCAAAAGGTAGATAGTATCTGACTTAAATGTTCCTGGTCTGTATTAGGTTAATWACTGGTACTTCTGTTTCTGGTAAAGCAACTTGTCACTAGTTTTGCTGTAACAATCTTACRTATTGAATGACTGTTCTTATTCATAAACTTTTATTTTTTTTCTTTAGGCTAAACATCATAGGCTTTTCTTTGGAGACCATAGTTTCTAAAGCTTTTACCATTCTTCTTGAACTTCCAGACTCTGCCTTTTACCCATATCTACATATTTAACATTGGCCAAAATTAGTCCATTAAGGCCTTGTTAC